TCACCCAGCTGATCTTGTAAGGATGGGGATTGCGCGTCGTCTTAAGGTGAAGCTTCTGCACCACTGACCGAGAAATGATATTCTCGGTGCACCCACTGTCGACGAGTAAATCACAGACGCTACCGCCAATGGTGCATCGGGTTCGGAAGATAGCATGCCTCTGAGACGCACCTGCCTGACGAGGTGCTATTAGTAACTTCTCCATAACGCAGGCGAGTGGTTCACCATCATCAGCTTGAAGATCCTCAAAATTCTGCTCATTCACTTGCTCTGCAATGTAATCTTCCTCACCTTGTTCCCCTTCAAGTAATTGCACTTGCTGCCGATTAGGACAGTCATTGGACTTATGTCCCGGCTGAAAGCAGCGATAACACTTCAGCGTTACTGGCTTCGCATATGGATTGTTATCCCGCACGGGGGTCTTCTGACGGTTATACAACGGCGGCTTAGGTTCAGCCCCCAAAATGCCAGGTCCTCCAGAGGATGGGATTGTGGGTTTGTGTCCGCCCACTGCTGATGATTTATGTGCCTCCCCACTCGATTCTGCAGTAATCTTCCGAGCAGTATTTCCTCGCGGCTGTCGGTTGAGATGAATTTCAGCCTTAAGGGCGTAGTTAACCGCCTGGGAAAGCGTCCATACCGAATTCATTTCAAGCTTATCCTGAATAGCTTCTTTAAGGCCCCCAATGTATCGTGTGACTAGTTGCATTTCAGATTCATTCAAGTTATTCCTGGCGCTTAATCGGTAGAACTCCTCTGTATACTCGCTAACAGTCCGAACACCTTGGTTGCAATGTTGATACTGCATGTATAACATCTGCTCGAAATCAGTGGGTAAGAAATGCCCCCTCAGCAATCGTTTCATCCGATACCAGCTGGAGACATTCCCCTTTCCTTCTCGCCTTCGGGACTGTAGGAGTTGCATCCACCATGCCCCCGCTCCGCCCTTAAGACGGCACGCGACGTACTTGACTTGTTTCTCCGGCGCGATCTCCATGTAATCAAAGAATGCTTCAACAGCACATTCCCAATCCAAGTAGTCTTCGATGTGTAAGCGCCCGTCGAAGAAGGGGATGTCCAGTTTAATGCGAAACTCTCAGTTCTGTCGCTGTGGTGGAGGGTATCGGCGAGGCTGTTCATAAAAATTTGGTTCATCTTCCTCTGCTGAGTCCGATACTTCCAACTGTGGCTGGACGCCTTCTTCATCATCAGATCCTGATACTACTGGAACAACGGTATGAAACATTCGGCCACGATGTGGGAGCAACACCGGTGTGGTTGCCGGCGCGAGTGTCCTCCTCATTGCAGCCGGTGGTTGATTCGTCCGTAGGGAGCGAATCTCCGTCCTCATTTTCGCTGAAAATCGAAAGAACTCTGTGGTTAACGCCTCCATCTATCGAGCCATACTGTTCTGGGCAGTCCATAAAGCTTCCAGACTTCGGTCGTCCTCCACATTCCGTTTGCTTCCTTCGGCCATTGGATTCACAGCCGAGCTCTGATACCAATTGGTGTGAAAACCGAGTGAACCTGCAAAAACAAAGAGAAGAAAGAAGAGGCAGAGCAAGCAAAAGGGAGACGAAGGAGAAGAATGAGAGGAAGTGTAGGTAATTCCAGTGTAGTTGTATTCAAAAGTCTGCTCTAAACCTGCTATCTCCAGGCATTACATAGCTGATTCTAATAAAGAAAAGTATTAAAAGAAATGCTAAATGCTGAGCTGGCCACTAATTGGCAGAGAAGCAATAACTAACTAAAGCTGCAAGAGGTAGTGGAGATATAAGTAAGGTAATGATATCACCGGAATATTCTGGTACCATGATACGCCACATCAGTGAGTGGGACCGAAGCAAGAAGAAGAGAAGAATAGGAGGGAAGAGACTCCTCCTCGATCACCGTTGGAGTTCCGCCCGAACTCCAAATGATGCCGGAATTCTACCAGACTTCCACGGGACGCCAGAATTCTACCCAACTTCCACGGGACGCCAGAATTCTACCCAACTTCCACGGGATGCTAAAATTCTTTCTAATTTACAACAGAGTTCCCTCCCGACGCCGAAACTCCGCCCAAGTGATGTTGTAGTTCTCCTCGGCCACCAACAAACGTCGGACTTCTACCCAACGTCGGACCTTCACTCTTCGCCAAGTTTCTACTCGACACTGGACTTCTATCGGTTATCGGACTTTCGCTGGACGTATATCCGAAGATGGATTTATTTCCATTGTTGGACTTCTACCTAACGTCGTCCTTCTGACCTTCATTGTCAGACATGGACCTTCCGACCTCCGTCGCCAGTTGACTACGGTCCTCCTTACTTACGTCATCCGCAGACTACATTCTTCTGACCTCCGTCCCCTGACTATGGTCCTCCCGACCAAACGAACACATCAACATTGGCTCTTTGTATTTCCAACATGTAATCTACTTCATATAATGTACATCAAGCCCAGACCTTCCCCCCAAGAAAGGGCCTCATTTGTAATAGAGTACAATACTAATGGATTCATTCAAATTAGGCTAGGCCCGTGGATTTTCTCCTTTTCATGATTTTCCACGTAAAAATCTTGGGTTCTCTTATAAATATTGTTCCATCTCTCTTATCTATTTGTGTGCTGTTCAGGATAGATTTCAGTACTGGTGATTGTAGTGTATTTCCTGAGTATTGTACATGACCTTTTGAGATATGAATTGACTTGTATATTGAAGTTTTAAATTTTATATAGATGTTGATAGACTGTTTAATTGAAGGTTTTAGATAACTCTGGTAAATTGTTTGAGAAATAAATTGACATTCTTTCCAAGTTAGATCTTGGGGCGTGACACGCTCGTCGTCAGATTTCTACCCGACGTCTGACTTCTACGTAATGCCGGAGTTCTGCCCGGTCGCCGACTGACGTTAGACTCCTACCCGACGTCGGACCTCCGCTCGTCGCCGGATTTCTACCCTACACCAAAATTCTTCCAGACGCTAGACTTCTGCCCATTGCCGAACTTTCGTCGGACTTCTATCCGACGCAAGACTTCTGTCCATCAACAGACTTCTACTCAACACAGGACTTGCACCTATCGCCGGATTCCTATTCGACACCGGAGTTCTGCCCGTCACCAGCCAACTACGGTCCTTCTGACTTACGTCACCCATCGACTACAATCATTCCGACCTCTGTCGCCCACCGACAATAGCCCTTCCGACCAACCAAATATGTCAACAGTGACTCTTTGTATTCCCACCATATAATGTACTTTATATGATGTACATCAAGACAAGACCTTCTCCCTAAGGAAAAGCCTCAATAGTAATCGACTGCAAACAATAGTGGATTCATTCAAACTAGGCTAGGCCCCATAGTTTTTCCCTTTTTCAGTGGTTTTCCACATAAAAATCTAAGCGTCTCTTGTGAATTTCGCACTCTTTTTATTTGTATGCGTGCTGGATCTTCGTACAATGCTGAGACACTAAACTTTATATTTCTCTACTGCCGTGAATATTCCTTGACGCAACACTAATATAATATTTTTTACAATAATTTTAAAAATTAATTTTCTATGGTAATTTTATAAAATAATAAAAAAACATCCTAAACAAATCATAAATTTTAAATGTTCATATTCATCCGCAGCAGTCCACAATAGTTGGCAGGCGTCCTCATGGACTTTTATAATATATCATAATTGCAAGCTAACATGGTGAATTTATTCTTTATAGGTTGACTTGGCTAGTTAGCTGTAACATTATGACTAAAACCTCTATTTGATGATAATTATTTCCACGTCTACTAACTTTTGCTTTTGATAGGACGGACGTGGGTGACGTGGACAACGACCATGCCCTTCGGACCGTTTTGATTTTTCTTCCACTACACAATAAATTATCAATGCTTGTAAGTGTAATGGAACGCTCCAAAACTAAATTCCGTGATTAGCCATTTGAATTTATTTGATAAGTTTTTATTTTTTATATGATAAATTAAAATAAAAGAGATAAGATAAGCCACTTTTATTTTATATTTTTATGTTAGCAACGTGTTTTGATATTTTATTATATCATTAAAAAATATAAAATAAAAATATCAAGTTTAAATTTTGTGTATGATAGATAAGTTTTAAGATTATTGATATTATGAAATTAAATATCTATAGAAAATTAATTAAAATTTTATTAAAATATTCACAAAATGAATTAATAATTAAAAAAATTCAAACTAATGAAAATTTTAATTAAATATTAAAAGGAAAATGAATGGAATTAAATAAAAGAAGGCTATATATTATTTGTCAATATTTTTTTTAAGTAGCATTAACTCCATCATTATAATATAAATAAAAGAAAACCATTACTTTTTGAAGGCTTATTTTAAATTATTAATAAATTTATTTAGTACCATTAACCAATTATTATAATATTAATAAAAGGAAGCCATTACCTCACCTTGATGAAGAGGGGTTGCGATGTAAAATAAAGGTGCTTCATTAAAATCTTTTGGATCTTCCATTAATGAAAGAGATGTGATTAGGCAACTAAATATCATTATTTTTAGGTTTAATAAAAAAATATTTTTAATACTTTTTAGCTAAATCTTTTTAGATTTATTTCTCCAACTTTTTTAACATATGTTGGATCCAATACATTCACTCTCCTAAAAAAGTCAACTCAAATCAGACCCGCTTCCAATCCGGGTCAATCCGATACGACCCGAATGATCTGAAACTGACAAAAAATTGCTGTTTTTGGATAAAAAAAGGGTCAATTTAGATTTTCCGGATAAAAAAGAATCAAAACATGTCAATTTCGAGTTATTGGGCTAATTCAAATCTGACCTGATTTTTAAAATTGGTTAATTTGTCGAACCCGAATCTAATTCATTTCAGATCCGAGTTCACCTTAATTTTAAATTTTCGGATCTGACTCTAGCCGGATTTTTTTATCATGACTTTCAGCCCGCGTTAAAAAAAAAAGGCCGCAATTTCTTGGACTGGTCGTGTTCGGCACTTAATCCAGTATAACGACCTCTGCACGGTGTTCCCGTTCGCCGGTATCTGTGGAGTAGATATCTCCCCTGGCATTTAGCCATTTAGCAAGGTGGACTGTTTGCAGACCGCCAATACCTCTCCGCTCACCCTCTCTCCTCTCCCAAAACCCCAATGGAGAGGCTTATCTCCTCTCCCAGCTCCCTTTCTTCCGGAGCTTCAATATCAAAGCATCGCTCTCTTGTTCCCGGCTCCTCTTCTTCCGCCCACCTCGCCGGCATCTCGGCGGCTAGATCCGGTCAGTTATTTCTCCGCAGATCAGGATTCAAGCCGGTGGGTGCGGTCTTGTCTAATTATGATGAACCGCATCGCCCCCGCGTATTTCGTTCTTTGTCCTGTATTGGGAATTACGCGGTTCCGGTTTTGGAAGGGAAGGTTGAGCAGAACTCGCTAGATGCTCAGTCTGAAACAGGAAGAGATTTGACGGGCGTGTTTCTTCGAAAGGTGCTCTTTTGATTTGAATTATTTTGTTTTTGTGCCGTTTTGCGCTTATTGTTGATATAGGGACTATCGTTTATGGTCCTGGATATTGTTATTTATTTTGTCTTTCGAGGAGTTATTCTTATAGTTTAATGATCTATTCTATTATTATGGAATCAGAGATGAAGTTGGAAAGCTATAAAACATCCAGTTAGAGATGCCGATATTCTAGTTATCCATTGACGACTAATTTACCATGAAATCCTTGCATATATTGATGCTTTCTGATAAGCATAGTCTCTTTCAGAAAACTTATCAAACTTAGTATATTCAGACATTTTTTTGCTTCGGAGCAAACCCCAGGAAAAAAAAACCAAGCTTTCATTAAAGATGTGAAGGGGGAATTAATTGTTGGGAATGAGCAGATCCAAACCATGCATATTTTGTATGTAAATTTGATACTTGTGGGTCACTTTTGTGGCCTCATTAAACTCATTTTTTGCCGGCTTTGCTTTCCTTAGTTGTTGTATATGTTGAACTTTCGGACGTCAAATGTCAGGCCCTTATACCATGGATTGTAAAATTGCACAGTTGGTTAAAGATTGACGAGAGCCCACATTTTTTTGTTTGTTTGACAATCCACAGAATCCATTTACCTTGACTACACAGATTTTATAAGTTGACAAATTATTTGCTGCTGAACGAAGTTGAGGAAGGAGGAGAAGAATTGAACATAGAAAAAGAAGAGAGAAGAGGAGGGAAAGGAAGATAGTAGGGCTCACTAGCTAGGAGGGGAAGAGGCAATGCATAGCATTACACTTTTGTTAATCATTTGTCATACTACGAAAAATATCCTAAGTTGAAATATGTACCTATTTCCCCTTGGCTTGTAAATAAGGTCAACTAAGGATGTTACATAACAACAAATAAAGATGAAATAAGTAAGGACATAACAATCATACCAAAAGACCTATGACATGAAATCTAATACATAATCCATGATCATGTGAATCTTAATGCCCAAAGTTGTCATCAAGGCAAATTTTGTGTTATGATGATGAGTTTAATATATAAACTTTAACAAATTTGCATTTAAATTTTGAATTTATAATTTCAATAGGAGTTTATATTTGCATTCTAGGATTTTGCCCTATCATAAAGTCTTTTGGGTTGTACTTCGTGATTTTTTTGGGGTCTATGCTAGTCTTCAGCCCCTTATATTAATTCTTCTACTCCTTCGTAGTTCGTTCTATGGTTGTTTCTCAGTTTCAACTGTCGTACTATGACTTCTTTACTATTGTTTAATTCTTGGATGATTTTGCTTTATCTATTGTTGACCTACAACTCCCCTATTTTTTGAGGCATTTAATTCTATTTTCTACGACCCTTGTGGGTTTTAGAGGCTTCCAGGCTTTGTAGGCACTTTAGCTGGGGATGTGCGTGAGATTTTTATGATCTAACATTCTAACTACAATCCTAAGTCAATGAAAAGGGTTTTCAATTTTAAATGGGGGCTAGATGCATGCACACAACTTATTTTCTATTTTATAAAATTTTTTATTTGACATACAATTTCTTCTTCTTTCGAGATTTAGTTCCTTGATAAAGTGAGGCTTGAAGAATTCTTTTAGTGGTTATCTACTTCTACAATTTCAAGGATTATTTTTTTATCGGTGAATTCTTTCACATTTTATTTGCTTTTCTTTGTTCTTCTTCTATGTATTTTGTTATTGATGTAAAAGGGAGATTTTTTTAGTCAGATTTGCTACAATGTAACATTTTTTTTAGTTGACTGACATGATTTTTGTGATTTAATTTCTTAATTTTATATAATGCCATTAAAGTTTCTTTATAAATCATGAAATAAATTTTATTTTATTCAAAGATAGTGAATAAGTGTTCACGATTACTAGCTCATGTCCCATGATATTTATGTTAGCTGTATTATTTTCTACGTTGCATAAAATTAATGATTAAGTTTGTTTCACAATCTCTAGTAGATGTAGGACATAATATCAATAATCAAGTTTAATTACGATGGAAAAGATGAAATTTTAGTGGAACCATTTAAGCCATTAATAGATGATGCTTTAGGGTCTAGGGTTTACTAGTATAGGATTAGATGCACACCAAAAACACTAGAAAATATAATATGCAGTCTACTAACATTGAGCCTTTGCTAAAGTTAGTTGCTTTTGATGAAAAAAAAAAAAAACATCTTTCATTTCAAGTGAAAAACATCCAGTTAGAGATGCCGATATTCTAGTTATCCATTGACGACTAATTTACCATGAAATCCTTGCATATATTGATGCTTTCTGATAAGCATAGTCTCTTTCAGAAAACTTATCAAACTTAGTATATTCAGACATTTTTTGCTTCGGAGCAAACCCCAGGAAAAAAAAAACCAAGCTTTCATTAAAGATGTGAAGGGGGAATTAATTGTTGGGAATGAGCGGATCCAAACCATGCATAGTTTGTATGTAAATTTGATACTTGTGGGTCACTTTTGTGGCCTCATTAAGCTCATTTTTTGCCGGCTTTGCTTTCCTTAGTTGTTGTATATGTTGAACTTTCGAACGTCAAATGTCAGGCCCTTATACCAAGGATTGTAAAATTGCACCGTTGGTTAAAAATTGATGAGAGCTCACATTTTTTTACTTGGACAATCTACAGAATCCATTTAGGGATTGACCTGGATGTTAGCTAATCCATTTACCTTGACTGCGCAGATTTTATAAATTGACAAATTATTTCCTGCCGAACGTGGGAAATTCTTACTAAGTTGAGGAAGGAGGAGAAGAATTGAACATAGAAAAAGAAGAGAGAAGTGTGGAGGAGGGAAAGGAAGAGAGTAGGGCTCAATAGCTAGTAGGGGAAGAGGCTATGCAAAGCATCACACATATTTTTTTTCTTCAAAATATCATGATTATTATATGACCATTAGGCCTCTATCTATATGATGACCCTTCAAGATAAGAAGACATACTATTAATCATTTGTCATACTGCTAAAAATATCCTAAGTTGAAATATGTCCCTATGCCCCTTGGCATATAAAATAAGGTCAACTAAGGATGTTACGTAACAACAAATAAAGATGAAATAAGTAAGGACGTAACAATAATACTAAAAGAACTATGACATGAACTCTAATACATAATCCATGATCATGTGAATCTTAATGCCCAAAGTCATCATCAATGCAAATTTTTGTGTTATGATGATGAGTTTGATATATAAACTTAAAAAAATTTACATTTCAATTTTGAATTTATAATTCCAGTAGGATTTTATATTTGCATTTTAGGATTTTTACACTATCTTAAAGTCTTTTGGGTTGTACTTCGTGATTTTTTCGGGGTCTATGCTAGTCTTTAGCCCCTCATGCATGTTAATTAATCTAATCCTTTGTTCTATGGTTGTTTCTCAGTTTCAACTATTGTACTATGACCTCTTTACTATTGTTTAATTCTTGGATGATTTTGCTTTATCTATTGTTGACCTACAACTCCCCTATTTTTTGAGGCATTTAATTCTATTTTCTACGCCCCTTATGGGTTTTAGAGGCTTCCAGGCTTTGGAGGCACTTTATCTGAGGATGTGTGTGAGATTTTTATGATCTAACTACAATCCTAAGTCAATGAAAAGGGTTTTCAATTTTAAATGGTGGCTAGATGCATGCACACAACTTATTGGCTATTTTATAAAAAAAATTATTTGATGTACAATTTCTTCTTCTTTCGAGATTTAGTTCCTTGGTAAAGTGAGGCTTGAAGAATTCTTTTAGTGGTTATCTCCTTCTACAATTTTGAGGATGATTTTTTTTTTTATCTGTGAATTCTTTCTAATTTTCTTTGCTTTTCTTTGTTCTTCTTCTATGTATTTTGTTATTGATGTAAAAGGGAGATTTTGTTAGTCAGATTTGCTACAATGCAACATTTTTTTTTTTAGTTGATTGACATGAATTTTGTGATTTAATTTCTTGATTTTATAAATGTTAAATTGAGAGGAACGAGAGGGAAAAGATTGAATTTTATTAAGCAATCTACTCCCTATTTATAGATCTATACAAGGTATATCAATAAGGAAACAAATAACTCTTATAATAATATGAATATAATTATTCCTAAATCAATGGGAGGAATTAATGCAATCCTTGTAGTCCTCCCACGGATTACTGTTCACAGCCGTGGATGTCTTCGGGATCGTAAGGTTGAGATTTAACAATAAATTGCCATTAAAATTTCTTTATAAATCATGAAAAAAAAATTATTTTATTCAAAGATAGTGAATAAGTGTTCACGATTGCTAGCTCGTGCCCCATGATATTTATGTTTGCTGTATTATTTTCTACGTTGTATAAAATTAATGATTAAGTTTGTTTCACAATCTCTAGTAGATGTAGGACATAACATCAAGAATCAAGTGCAATTAACATACCATGGAAAAGATGAAATTTTAGTGGAACCATTTAAGCCATTAATAGATGATGCTTAAGGGTCTAGTGTTTACTAGTATAGGATTAGATGCACACCAAAAACACTAGAAAATATAATATGCAGTCTACTAACATTGAGTCTTTACTAAAGTTAGGTTCTTTTGATGAAAAAAAAGAAGAAAAAAACTTCTTTCATTTCAAGTGATCATCAGATAATGTAATAGTTGCCAAAATCTTGTAACTCTTAAATTTCAACGACAATCAAGATTCACACTAGAAAGGAATATGACATATATCACACTTGACAAAAAATTAATTACACACACAAATAAGTCACTAAAATAGTTTAGTAGAAAAGTGAGGATAGAATTCACCCAAAATAAGATCTAGGTGTCGTGCCTTTACAACGAGACTAACCCCTCAAAAGTAGTCATAGATAACTGTGAAGCACTCAGAAGAATCCATAGCAAACAACACATATAAGTATCGAGGGAAAATTTAAATTTTGATTGAACCATTGAATGAATATTACATGCTTTAGCAGTCCTATGTATGGTTCATGAACAACCCCGAATAAAAATTCT